TGGGGTGGGTCGGTTTGGGCTTGGGGTGGGTCGGTTTGGGCTTGGGGTTGGTAGGTCAGTGCTTGGGGTGGGGCGGTGGGTGCTTGGGGTGGGGCGGTGGGTGCCTCGGGCGCATAGGTGGGGGCTTGGGATGGGTTGCTGGGGGTTTGGTGTGGGTAGGTGGGTGTTTCAATTGGGTCGTTGGGCGGTTGCGCTGGCTCGGTTGGTGCTTGGACTCGTTCGGTGGGTGCTTCGACTGCGTCGGTAGGCGGTTGGGTTGGGTCGGTGGGGGGGTTKGCGTTTGTGGGTGGGGCCTTCGAGTGGGTCGGTCGCTGCTGGTAGTAGGTCCACGACAGGTGGGATTGGGTCGTCGGGTGCTGGCACTAGGTAGTCGGGTGCTGGCACTGGGTAGCCGGGTGCTGGCACTGGGTAGCCGGGTGCTGGCACTGGGTCGCCGGGTGCTGGCACTGGGTCGCCGGGTGCTGGCACTGGGTCGCCGGGTGCTGGCACTGGGTCGCAGGGTGCTGGCACTGGGTCGCCGGGTGCTGGCATTGGGTTGCCGGGTGCTGCCACTGGGTCGCCAGGTGCTGGCACTGGGTCGCCGGGTGCTGACATTGGGTCACCGGGTGCTGCCACTGSGTTGCCGGGTGTTGGCGCTAGGTCGCCCGGTGGTGGCACTGGATCGCCGGGTGCTGGCACTGGGTCGCCCGGTGCGGGTGCTGGGTCGCCGGGTGCTGGCACTGGGTCGCCGGGGCCGCGGGCTGGTGGGAATGGGTTGGTGCTCGCTGGGAGTTGGTCGCCTGGTGGTGGGGATGCGGTGGGGGGTGGTGTGACTGGGCCGCCGGGTGCTGGGACTGGGTTGCTGCGTGCTGGGACTGGGTTGCTGCGTGCTGAGGCTGGGTTGCTGCGTGCTGGGGCTGGGAATGGGTTGCTGCTTGCTGGGGCTGGGACTGGGCTGCTGCGTGCTAGAACTGGGTTGTCGGTGATGGGGCTGGGTTGCTGTGTTCTGGGACTGGGTTACTGCATGCTGGGACTCGGTTGCTACGTGCTGGGGCTGGGAGTGGGTTGCTGCGTGCTGGGGCTGGGACGGGGTTGCTGCGGGATGGGACTCGGTTGCCAGTGATGGGGTTTTGTGTGGGTTGGGGGGTGCGTGTGTTGACTGGTTGGGTCGGTGGGTGGTGGACGTGCTGTTTAAGGTAAGTTGTGTTTGGGTTCCGTTGACGCCGGTGGGTGTGGAGTCTTTGTAAACCCTAGACC